ACCTAATTGGACTCTCGGTTGGTATTAGAGACCATGATAAACATTTCGGCAATTTTCTTTTTCGGGCTAAAAGAAGTCAAAAATTTCAAAATTGAAGACAAATATCCACACTTTTTGAGAAATTTTGAATGTTTCAGGGCCCGGTGTCAAAAGTTTTGAGATTTTAGGGGATACATCTCGGGGTCATATAATGCCGTTTGGAACCATATATGATCATTATAGGTTGTCATAAATGTTCGTAGTAGGCTTGAGTTAATTAAATTGGTGCAACATGTAAACCAGTAAATTGGCCGTTTAAAGGCAAATAGGATGGTTTCACCCACTCAATTGGAATCACGGAGGGTATTAGGAAACCATGGTAAACATTTCGGCAATTTTTATTTTCGGGCGAAAAAAAGTAAAAAAAAAATCTAAAATTGAAGGCTAATATCCACGCTTTTTGAGAAATTTTGGAGGTTTCGGAGCCCGGTGTCGAAAAGTCTTTAGATTTTAGGGGATACATCTCGGGTTATATAATGCCGTTTGGAACCATATATGATCATTATATGATGTCATAAATGTTTGTGGTAGACTTGAGTTAATGAATTTGGCACAAATTGTAAACCGGTAAATTGACCGTTTAAAGGCGAATTGGATGGTTCCACCCACCCAATTGGACTCCCAGAGGGTATTAGAGACCATGGTAAATATTTCGGCAATTTTTATTTACGGGCGAATTTTTTTAAAAAATTCTAAAATTGAATGCTATTATCCACGTTTTTTTTAGAATTTTTAGAGTTTTCAGGACCTGATTTCGAAAAGTCTTGAAATTATAGAGAATATATCTCGGGGTCATATAATGTAGTTTAGAACCATACATGATCATTATTTGTTGTCATAAATGTTCGTGGTAGGCTTGAATTAATGAAATTGGTGCAAGTTGTAAACCGGTAAATTGGTCGTTTAAAGGCAAATTGGATGGTTCCACCCACCCAATTAGACTCCCGGAGGGTATTAGGGACCATAGTAGACACTTTGACAATTTTTATATCAGGGCGAAAAAAAGTTAAAAAATTCCAAAATTGAAGGCAAATATCCACTCTTTTTGAGAAATTTCGATTCTTTCGGGGCCCGTTGTCGAAAAGAATTGATATTTTAGGGGATGCATCCCGGGGTCATATAATGCCGTTTGGAACCATATATGATCATTATAAATTGTCCTAATTGTTCCACCTAGCCAATTGGACTCCCGGAGGGTATTAGGGACTATGGTAAACATTTCGGCAATTTTTATTTTCGGGTGAAATAAAGTAAAAAAAATTCCCAAATTGAAGGCTAATATTCACGCTTTTTGAGAAATTTTGGATATTTCGGGTAGAGCTGTCGATTTGGGTAAATGGGTCGGGTTTAGGTTGGTAAGAGTAGGTCGGGTCAACTCGAGTCGGGTCAATTCGGATTAATTCCATAGCCTATGCGGGTCGGGTTTGGGTTGGGTCATGCTTGAGTCGGGTTACGTCGGGTCATACTCCTTATCGGGTTTGGGTCAGGTTAATAATGGGTCGTGTGAACAATAGGTCGAGTTTAATTCAGGTTTTCACTGGTTAAAACGGGTTAGGGTAATTCTCGGGTTCGAGTCGAGTTTGGTTTAATTCAATAATTTGCGGGTTAGAATCTGATCATTCTCGGGTTTGAGTCGGGTTTGGTTCAAGTCAATAATTTGCGGGTTATAATTAGGTCCGATCATTTTAAGTCGAGTCATTCTCGGGTTCTAGTCGGTTTCAGTTCAAGTCAATAATTTGCGGGTTATAATCAGGTTGTGTCATTTCCAAGTCGGGTCATTCTCCGATTTAAGTCAGGCCATTTCCAATTCAGGTTGTATTCGGGTTCAACTAAATACAAATAGATAATTATCATTTTTATCAAGCTAATTATTTCCTTTGACTATAATATATATGACAATATAATAGGGAATTATAGTCTATAATTTAGTAAGATAATTATCTCCTTTGCCCATACAACAAATATATACTATATTTAACTCTTAAATTTGAGGATGATGCTCTTTTCTTTTGCTGGCCTGGACCGACTTGGTCTCCCTAGACCAAATGGTTTGATGAACAATAATAAGGTGGTCTAAATTGCATTTAAGGTGATTTGAAATCGGGTGAGGAACAATTTGGGTTGAATGTAGGTCGTGTCAATAACAAGTCGTGTTGATTTCGAGCCGGGTTAATAACATATCGGGTTGAATTTTTTGGTCGGGTTAGTAATAGGTCTGGTAAAATTTGGGTCGGGTCAATAACAAGTCGGGTTGAATTTGGGTCAGGTTAATTTCAAGTCGGGTTGATTTCGGGTCGGATTTGTAACATTTTGGGTTAAATTCGGGTCGGGTTAGGAACGGGTCGGGTTGAATTCAGGTCAGGTTAGTAACAAGTCGGGTTAAATTCGGGTTTTGACGGGTTAAAACGGGTTTGGGTCAATTTCGGTTGAAGTCGGGTTCGGTTCAGGTCAATAATTTACGGGTTACATACGGGTCGGGTCATCTCCAGGTCAGTTCATGTTCGGGGTTTGGGTCTTACATACTTGGGTCAACTCGGGTCTAGGGTTGGTTTCAGGTTGGGTCAGGTCGGGTTCAGATGGTTTGGTTAATAATCGGGTTTGAGTCGGTATTTCGGGTCGAGTCAACTTTTGACAACTCTAGTATATCTTAAAAGTCATAAATGATTGTGGTTGGATAAGGATGTTAAAGCCACACTTGTATGTGATATTCGTATATCTCATAAAATAGATAATTCGTATATCTCATAAAGCCACACTTGTATGTGATATTCGTATATCTCATAAATCAGTCATATTATAATGTAGACACAAGAAATCTGTTAATGTATTGAGTAGACCATCTAGAGGTTGTTGGAAAGTTGCATCTATTTCATCAAAGAATGACTAGAGTTTGCAATTGGCTTGTTTTTTACCCCACTATAGGCATTTTCTTAATTATACAGGGAGGATTTGACATACATGAAACACACTGCTCTTGGGAGAAAATTTACAAACCATGACAAAGCCTATCAAGAGGGGGGAAACTCATCAATTGTGAGATAAAATTACTGAGTAATCATTAGTATAAATCAAGTAAGTTTATGCTGAAAAAAAAAAAAGAAAAAAGAAACTAGTAAGTTATGTCACCAAAGTAGCTGATAGAAGCCCAAAGTAACCTGGAATAGAAGCCTTCAAGGAGATGGAAATCAACTAGGGTGTTTCTAAAGGAAAAGTTCACAAGATACCCTTTTACTTTTGCAAAATACACAAGATACTCATCATATCTAACTTAATGCAGTATATCTTTTACTTATAAATACCCAAGATACACAAAATACCCTCTTGATACCCTTTTACTTTTACTTGTAAATCATACGCAATGCATGAAAAAACATAACAATCTATTTGCATTATTATCTTTTTTGAAATAAATCTATATGCGTTCTATGTTACTTGAACTCTTCATTTTAAGCTAAGTACTTGTGTCGGACCCTCGACACTCGGACATGGGTAGGACACTTCATTTTACTTCAAAATTATGTAAATTATTCACAAAATAGCCGAGTTGGACTCTTGGGCACGTACCCATAGCTACCCAAGTCCGAGTAACATGCAGTAATTATTTTTTTGGAAACAAATCTATATGCATTATTTGATAGAAGCGAAAATCAAATATTCAAAATTGAGATCTGATGTGTGTCACACAATTAACTGGTTGTTGAACTTGTTCCACATTATTATTAATTGACAGAAGTTACTATATGTATTGTGTAAATTTAGTAGAGGGGGTGTATGGTACATTGGTGCACAAAGCTAGACATGAAGTATATCCTGTGAGTTATGCGAACATATTCATGAAATCTCTCTGTTTTGAACATTATATTCATGAACAACGCAATTTTGTCTTTTAATATGTCATGGACTGTTACATTATTGTTGTCTTTACATTGATTAATATTTGAATTTAAATCTGGTAAGTCCCTGAAGTATTTAGGTCACTTCATAAGGCTAGTGGATGGACTAAATGAGCATAGATGTATTATACAGAATCAATCAAGATATATTATCTGCGTGGGTTGGATAATTTGTTCGACAAAGAAAAAAACATCAGTGCTGTTAATATACTTATGAGCATGATTTAATAGGAACAAAAAGAAATTAGGAGTTATTTTAGGAAGTAGGTTTCCGGGCCTGGGTTAATTTGCAACTTTTGCAAGTGATACTTGCTTGTTGCATCGCAAGGAATCTATTTAATCTTATCCTTCTTGATTCTGTTGCAATTTCTAATATTTTTTGCTATGTGTGTTGTTGCGGATGGTTCCTTGTGATGATTCATATTAGTTGACCCCAAATTATTTTGGGACTTATTGCGATTATTGTCATAAATGATAGTTCAAGAACTAGCCACTGACAATTTGACCCATCGTTGGCATTTTCTTAGAATTAACATCTAGAGGCCTTTACGCCTTGAAAGAATTTTAATATAATGATAATACTACTCAGTAGTTAATTTTGATGGGATAACCAGCTATCTAATGACAACTCTTAAGTTCTAACTTCATATTAATAACCTTTGAGAAACTACAGAATTGTATGTGCTTTAATGCCGCAAATTGTCTGGAATACGATTCTTCTGGGGATATACTAGGTGTTTGTTTGATCTTCTAAAGATATGTTTATGTATCTCAAACTCAATAGTACGAGGACATCTGTCAATGAATGGTTAAGGACTTTTGTTTTCTTTTTTTAGGGCTCACCTTTCACCTTGTATACTTGGTTCTTGTGGGTAGAGCATGTGTAGCTGACCTTATCTAGTGGGAAAATGGATAGTTTGGGTTGCCTATAAATTGGTACAGTTTGCATTTTTTGACCACAATAATGTCTGTCTTTTTATTGCCTATTTATGATAAATTTCAATAGCCTGAATTGTGAATGCTATCGAATAAAACAGCATTTGACATTTCCCCCCCCCCCTCTTATAGGGAAGAAAGGAGTGCGGGATAATATTGTAATTGCAACAAAGTTTGCTGCATATCCATGGCGATTAACTCCGGGACAATTTGTGAATGCTTGCAAGTATGCCTCTTGTTCTCTGAGTTACCCTCCCCCCCTGCGGTTCAGTTTGAACGAATGGAAAGTTATGGATATCTGATTTCAGAATAATTAAAGATAAATTTGCGGGGGCTAGAATATTTGAGATTATGTTGATTAAAAGAACCTGCACGCACATGCTATTTTAGTGTTATGATCTTGAAACTGGAACTGATTGTCTGATAGTGTTTGATAGTCTAATGTTTCAGGTCTTCTCTAGACCGAATGGAACTTGAGCAGATTGGAATAGGGCAACTGCATTGGTCAACTGCAAATTATGCTCCATTGCAAGAGATGGCTCTTTGGGATGGATTAGTAGCAATGTATGAGAAGGTTATACTTTATGATGTGGAGTTCTTTCACTATGCCTCCCCTTTGCTCCTGACAGCTATCATTCCAAGAAGTTGAATTGTGCTGCAACTTTTATCAATTTTATTTTGCATCTGTGAACTAACTGTTTTGAGTTATGATGGCATTGTTAACTATAAAATGATATTGATTGTGGGATGATCTCATGATTTTGACTGCAGGGGTTGGTTCAAGCTGTTGGTGTAAGCAATTATGGTCCTAAGCAACTTGAAAAGATTTATACATATCTCAATAATAGAGGAGTTCCTCTATGCTCTGCTCAGGTACACAGCTTATGGCATGAGCAGGTTTTATTATTTTATTGTTCATTATTAAACAGAATTATCAGAATAACAGGTTTTTTAGACGATTTCATTTTGAGTGTGGAGATAGCTGCAATTTTTGTTCGTGTGAATGTGTGTGTGTGTGTGTGGGGGGGGGGGGGGTAAACAAGTTACATTTTCATTGCTGATAACCATTTGGTCAAGCTCTGCTGATCTTTGCATTTTGCTTCATACTTGCAGGTGCAGTTTTCTTTGTTAAGCTTGGGAGATGAGCAGATGGAGGTCAAAAATATGTGTGATTCTTTGGGCATCCAGTTAATTGCATATAGTCCTTTAGGGCTTGGGATGCTTACTGGAAAATATACTCTTTCAAATTTGCCAAGTGGGCCCAGGTACATCTCAATTACCAGTTGTTCTCTTTAATTTTGCCCGTGTGCATTGGGGTTCATCTGATAAGATAATTTCAATAAAACAGGTCCCTGCTGTTCCGGCAAATCCTCCCAGGACTGGAACCTTTGCTGCGTTGTTTGAATGCAATAGCTAGTAGGCGTCAGAAAACAATGAGTCAAGTATGTTTAATTGACTCCTTTTGGCCACTGCTTGAATTTTTTGTTGTGACTTGCTAATATGGTCAGTATATGTCACATTAAGTATGATATTTGATTTGCCTATATATAATTGCCTATTTCAAGTTGCTTAGATTGTATTGGCATATTCAGAATCTTTGTTGTGGTTTAATATACCATGAAGCGTAAAACAGGGGAGTATGGGAACTGGTTTCTTGGAGTTAGTTGTGATTCCTTCCCTGCTTTTCTTCTGAGAGACCAGGGTTCAACTCTCATTTTCTGGATGAGGGTTTAAGGATGCATTACCACTATCTGCCTATCTGATGCCTGGGCATAGGGATAGGCCTTTCTTAAGATTAAAACAAAAGTAGACCTTGAAGCTACAGTAGTTATGCTATGATTATTAGCACATTAATTCAATAATATTGGTTTAAGCATAATTGTATAAAAGAAACGGTGACATTATGCCTGTGTTGGAGTGTTTTTTTTTCCAAAATCAGTTTCCACTGGTTTCTTCACTCTTTATCTCCGGATATGATGATTAGACAAGTAAGCTTTTGGGAGAATTAGGCTAAGGCTACTTAATTACATTTAACTCTTGCTTTCTTAAAATTTGAGAATAGCAAGGGCTTTTCTAGCTGCCCAATGTAGACATAAATTGAGAATATGATAATCTTCTGTTAATTTTGTACTCCTTAGGTCCCATAATAAACTTCCACATAACACTTCTCTTATCCCTAATTTTTCCTCTGATCAACTAACCAATTTTAGAAATGACAAAAGTCAACTATGCAGTCCTGGAACAGAAGGAATAGGATCTGATGCTTTGTACGAGCTTGTGTTGTTGCAAGACAAGCTCTTGAATACATTGATGTAGGCATCAATTTATTGAGGTTATAGTTTGGCAGTTAGTAATCAGAATAATGCCATAGTACTATAGTAGCCGTTTTTTTTTTCCATAAGAAAATAGACTTTATAGAAGAGAGCAGTTAACATTGTAAATTTTTGGTATGAAGTTCAGCTCTTTATACTAATTTGTTTCAAAACATAATTAACTTGACATATGAAATGGTAGAGTTTTAAAAATATATTCAAACTAAATCAAGTTTACTTGTTCTTTTCTGACTTAGATAATAGAACTAACTTAGATTGATGTTTGGGTATAATGTTTCCATTAATGTTTCCATCACATTACATATGAAACTATAAAAGGTATTAATAGTGTTTACATGACTATTTTCTTGTTTGCATATATCTTTTTAATCATGCTCAGTTCCTAATTTTTCAATAGTCAGCAGATAGCAATTAACTGGTGCATCAGCAGGGGTACAATTCCCATACCGGGTGTCAAAACTATCAGACAAACCCAGGAAAATTTGGGTGCACTTGGTTGGCGTCTCAGTAAGGATGAAATAACTCAATTGGAAGATGCAGCACTCCAATCTCCTAGAAAGATGATCCAGAATGTATTTCAGACCAGGTAAAATGACTTGGAAGCATGCTTTTGGCATTTTGATCAATTGATGGCTACTTCATTTAGCTTATGATTAAGCTCTATAAAAGATAGTTTTGACTTTTCAAGTATTATCAACCTTTTGAAACTCGCAAAAAGTCCTTTTTGTGAATAAGATATTTCTCATCTAGTCCTACCCCCGTCCCTAAATAGCACTTTATATTTATTTATTTTTTTACTTGCAATGTTTTGACTTTTTGTAGTTTGTACTTTTCACATTTCCACTTTGACCCTTTTTTTTTTTTTTTTATTACAAATACTTGTATAAAAACAAATATTACGGAGTGTTAGGTAAAATGTCATTCAAATTGGTCTTAAAGTATATTTTTAAAATATTAGCTTTTTAAAATTAAGGTTTAAGTAATTAATGGTCAAAGTTTGATGTTGATAAATGTGGAAGCCAAAAACCAAAATGGTACGATTTTTAAAGGCCTTGTCAAAATATGATCTATTTATATGGAGGGAGTTGTATATGTGCCATTGTTCAAAATTGTCATTGCAACTAGTACAAGAAAATCTTAGAAAAGCTGCAGTGCCTTTTACTCAACCTCCAATGTCTCTTTGAAATTTTAGGTAATCCCAATTTCTTGCTTCCAATTACATGGCGAAAATTCCAGAAGATGGTACCCATCATTTTGATTAAGGTAATTCAATTCAATTATGGGTTTTTGGCAACATGTGAATTCTCTTTTCTTATACTACAATCTAGTTCAATTTGACCTGTTTGGTAAATTTCAAATCTTGTTAGGAGCCATTATATCCTTGCTATGCACTCTTACAGTTCTAAGTTATTACCTGATATATTCTTAGCCGTTCAGATAGTAAGAACCCTTGAGCGCAGTAAGAAATTATAAAAAAAAAAAAAAATTAAAAAAAAAAATAATAAATAAGGAAAGAAAATTCAAAAAACATCAATCTGTTCATCATTGGAGAGAGACTGGATGTTCTTGTTTGCTTACAAATAATTTACTGGCCTAAATTTTGATGTCCTCACTAAACACGGCTGCTAATCTTAATCTTCGTTGTTTGACCAATCAGCTTTGAAAAATAATTTATTTAAGGATCAAATTCTTCACAATTTTGAAAAACCAATAAACCAAATTATATGGATGTCATAACCTGCAGGTATATACTTCGTAGTTCGTATATGTTTAGGGGACTATCAGCAAGCAAAGAAGACTTGCATTTTGATGTCAAAAGCAGAAGCTTGGAGATTGTTGTGGGATTTTTCTTCGAAATCATCCGATCGTGTGTTTTATTATTGCAGTAAGCAAAAAATAACCTCAAAGTATTATTACTCTCTTATGTACTCCTAAAACCATAGTTACCCAGATGCTTAAAATTCACTGCTTAGAGGAAATTATTGGTAAACTTGAATCAGTATTTTATACACCAGTATATGTATTCATCCATCATACAACTTGATGATTTTTATTACAATCTCAGGTATTAATTGTACCATTAAAAAAAATTTAAAGATTCAGTAAGGCTTTGCCTTGTATAAATACTTAATAAGAGTAATGAATGAAAATATTATTTGAAATTTCCATCTTCAATTTATTTTTTTGTTACCTCTTGCAAACTACTGCCCGTCCATTCATCCCACTAGCACAATTCATGCTAGCAAGATTCAGGGTTTGGATGGAAGTCTCTTCCTGACCGTCATAAAACCTTGAAGCCAAACAATCAGTGGCAAAAATGCTACTACTTGCATACTCCTTGTCTCCTCCCATAATTGGCATGGCTACTCCCATCTTCACTCGACTCATGTAATCATCCCTATAAGTTTTTCCTAACACACCGTCAACCCTGTTCGTCAATGAATAGAATTTGAATCCGAGGTCGAGATGAGCATAGCAATCCTCCTTAGTTATGTCATAGTTATGTGCCCTAGATTCTTCATCGGTAATGGGTACTACTTTGGCTGTGATCTGAAGTTTTCCTTGGACTTGGATGATAATACTGTTGGTTTCACTCGTCCTTGTTATGATGACTCGTGGCATTGTCGTGGATGACCATCGAGAACCTTGAGTTTGTTTCAAGAATATGGGCTCTCCATCAAAGGCCAATGAGAGGCTATCTTTGGCATCATTCCATTCAGAAGTCTTTGTGGCGCCTAAGAAGAGGCGATGGTTGTCGAACAAGATTCCAATGGATTGGACCCATGTGAAGTCGCGACTCATCTTTTTATTTCTTTTTCCAATGAAGTGTGCATTGATGTGGAGATTTGGGTCGCTTACAAGGCAAAAGTCTTCATTCTTCTTACCATGGAAGTAAAAGGTAATTCCATCTCCTCCTATGAAGCGAGGGTCTTGACATACGGCTCCTGGGTAGTCACAATCTAAAATATACAAATATATAAAATTAGTGATCAATGTAATCAATTGAACATGATAATAAAGAAAATATAACTTTTACGATAACAAAATCAACTTTTGGATTCAAACTACCATTCCTCATGTGTAGTTTCAATATAAAGTGTAAGGTATACTAAAAAAACTTACTGCAAACGGGCTTGCAAGTGACACAATCAACTTGACAAGAAGTAGGACAACTGGTTGGGCAAACATGCTCTTGGTTATAACATTGGTTGTAATCCTTGTTCTTGCATTTAACTCTCTTTCTAGAATTATAAGAAGTAGAAGGTGTTGGTGAGGTTGATGACGATGAGGAGGAGGAGGAGGAGGAGGAGGAGGATGATGATGATGATGATGATGACGACGATGACGAAGATGATGATGAAGAGGAGTTATATCCATTATTAGAACCAGATGTATTTGATGGTGGTAATGTGGTTGACGGAGTAGGAGATAATATTGGAGGTGTCGTTGGTGGTGATGGGGTGGATGGAGTAGGATTTGGTTGGGGTGATGATGGTGGTTGGGTTGATGGATTAGATGGAGAAGGTTTTGGTGATGATGGAGTGAGAGATGGTGTTGAAGGGGGCGGAGATTTAGGAGATGGTGATGCGGTTGGGGATGAATTATTAGAAGAATTAGATGCCGATGATGACGATGAGGAGGATGATGATGAAGACGAAGATGATGATGATGACGAAGAGGATGAATTGTATCCTGAATTAGAAGAAGGTGTATTCAATGAAGGTTTTGGTGGGGTAGGTGATGGTTGGGATGATGGAGTAGAAGGAAGTAATGGTGAAACTGGCGATGGTGATGGCGATGTTGGTGTAGACGAAGGGGGTGTTACAGATGGTGGCATACGAGATGGAGTTGAAGGTGATGGAACTGTAGGTGATGGTGATGGAGATAGAGAGGAAGATGGTGGGGTTGATGGAGCAGGAGATTTAGATTGTGATCCTGATGATGAGGAAGAGGACGACGACGTCGACGACGATGATGATGATGAGGAGGAGGAGGAAGAGGTTGAGTTATGTCCTTCATTAGATTGAGTATTTGAAGGTGATGGTGTGGTCGATGGAGTAGGTGACGGTGCTAAAGATGGGGATTTAGTTGATGGTGGGGTTGATGGAGATTTGGGAGGTGATGATGTTGGTGGTGATGAATAAGGGGGGATTGATGGAGATTTGGGAGATGATGATGGAGTAGGTGATGGAATTGAAGGTGGTGAAGATTTAGGAGATGGTGCTGGGGTCATTGGAGAATGAGAGTTAGATGGTGTTTTGGATGACGATGACGATGATGAAGAGGAAGAGGAAGAGGCAGAAGAGGAAGAGGTGGAAGAGGATGATGACGAAGATGAAGAATTATCTTTATGTGATGGATTTGGATGTGCAGTTGTCGGAGATGGAGTAGGAGAATGGTGTGTTGTTGTTGGTGGTGATCGTGGGGTAGATGGAGTAATAGGAGTTGATGTTGGTGGTGACGATGGGGGAATTGATGGAGATGGTGATGGAGTAGGCGATATTATTGATGGTGGTGGAGTTTTAGGAGATGTTGATGGGGTTTTTGGAGTATGAGAATCAGATGGTGTTGTTCCATGCGACGATGACGATGATGATGAGGCAGACGACGACGAAGACGAAGAGGAAGAAGTAGAGGAGGATGATGACGAAGATGAAGAATTTGAAGATGAAGAATTATCTCCATGTGATGGAGTTGGAGATGTAGTTGTCGGAGATGGAGTAGGTGAATGATGCGTTGATGGTGGGGTGATCGTGGGGTAGAAGGAGTATCAGGAGTTGATGTTGGTGGTGACGATGGGGGGATAGATGGAGATGGTGATGGAGTAGGCGATGGTATTGAAGTTGATGGAGATTTAGGAGATGGTGATGGGGATGTTGGAGTATGAGAATTAGATGGTGTTGTTCCATGCGATGACGATGATGATGATGATGATGATGATGATGATGATGAGGAGGAGGAGGAGGAGGAGGAGGAGGAGGAGGAGGAAGACGAAGAGGAAGATGATGATGATGATGATGATGATGATGATGATGATGATGATGATGATGATGATGATGATGAATTGTCCTCATGTGATGGAGTTGGAGATGCAGTTGTCGGAGATGGAGTAGGTGAATGGTTTGTTGGTGGTGGTGATTGTGGGCTTGATGGAGTATTAGAAACTGTTGATGGCGGTGAAGATGGAAGGATTGATGGAGATTTTGGAGATGGTGATGGAGTAGACGATGATATTGAAGGTGGTGGAGATTTAGTTGATGGTGATGGAGTTGTTGAATTATCAGAATTAGGTGGTCCTCTAGAAGATGATGAGGATGAGGATGAGGAGGACGAGGAAGAAGAAGCAGAAGAGGACGACGATGATGACGAAGATGAAGAATTATCCCCAGATGATGACGGTGTAGATGGAGCTGGAGATGCAGTTATTGGTGGTGGTGATGGTGGTGTTGATGGAGTAGAAGAGGAAGGTGGTGGTGGTGGTGAAGATGTATGGGATGGTGTTTGTGACGGGGGAGAAGGAGATGGTGCTAAAGGTGTTGATGAAGATGGTGTTGGGGTATGAGAATTATATGATGGTACCCTAGATTGTGGTGGAGATTTATCCCCTTTATTTTTAGCCTTAGCATTTTCCACATCATCTGCTTTCTTACCACCCTTTTTATCTTTATTTTCTTCCTCACTTTCATCTTGGGTATCTTCACTACCTCCCTTGGAATTTTCACCGTCTTTGTGATTCTTCGAACTATCTTTAGATGATGGTGATGATCCTTCTGCGATGGAAGGTGCCTCATATGCAGGTGATGATGATCCTTTATTAGATGAAGGTGAATCATTTCCATTATCGTCTCCTTTTTTACTTTCTTTATCTTCATCATTTCCTTTTTTATCATCTTTGTTCTCTTTTTTCTCTTCATTACCAGCCTTTTTCTTATCATCTTCTTTCTTGTCAACATTTTTGTCATCTTCTTTTTTCCCACTTTCATTTTTTATATCTTCTTCTTTATCTCTTTTGGAATTTTCACCGCCTTTTTTACCATCTGAATTCGAATTCGAATCCGAATCATCTTTAGATGACGGTGGTGGTGATGATCCTTTTGGAGTAGAAGGTGCATCATATGTAGGTGATGATGATCCTGCATTAGATGAAGATGAATCATCGTCTCTCTTTTTACCTTCTTTATCTTCATCAGTTCTATTTTTACCACTTTCCTTCACATCAACCCCTTTTTTACCTTCGTTGTTTTTTTTCTTCCCCTTCATTACCATCCTTTTTCTCATTATCTCCTTGTTGACCACTATTTTTATCATCCCTTTTTTTCTCACTTTCATCCTTGTTATCTTTTTCTTTATCTCCTTTGGAATTTTCACCGCCTTTTTTACTATTCGAACCACCTTTAGATGGCGTTGATGACGGTGGTGGTACCGATCCTTCTGCAGTAGAAGGTGTATCATAAGTAGGTGGTGATGATCCTGTCTTAGATGAAGATGAATCATTTTCAACATCATCTTTTTTGTCTTCACCCGCTCCTTTTTTACCATCTTTGTTTTCTTTTTCGTCTTCATCACTAGATTTCCCCTTATCTTTTGCTTTTTCACCACCATTTTCATCATCTTCTTTTTTCTCACTTTTGTCATTGTTATCTTCTTCTTTACCTCCTTTAGAATTTTCACCACCTTTATTACCACCTGAACCATCTTTAAATGATGGTGGTGATTGTGAATTATATCCAGGCGGAGTTGGTGATGATCCCGCATCTGTCGAAGGTGTATCGTATGTAGGCGGTGATGATCCTGCATCAGACGAAGGTGAATCAATTTCAGGCGGAGAGGAGGATCCCTTGTCACCATCACTTGATGATGATCTAGAAGAACAAATTGGCTTGCATGAAGCACATTCTACTTCACAGCTATTTGGACAAAACTTAGGACAAACATGTTCCAAGTTATAGCACATCTTGTACTTCTTGATCTTACATGATGCTCTTGAAGGATTTTTGGCAATTCCCGGAGGAGTTGTTGCCTCTATCAACATGCCCAACAACAAAACAAAGCATCCAAGATAAAATATCTTGGATGGTGCCATTTTCCAACTCTAGCTATAATTAAAGTTGGAAACTGTTTTAATGCAAAAAGTTGTTGTTTAAGAAGGTTTAATGGTAGATGATATTCATACCCCAAACAAATTACTGTTATATAGATGTGTAGGAACTAGTAAGTCAATGTTCATGATTTAGTATTTGTATATTCCTAAGATTTTGGGTCAAGTAGTTGAATATATTTCTTGAAGTTATATTCCACATGCATCTAACATACTTACATGTATGGCTATCAGAAAAATAAATGGTTCCTGCTGATATGCTTTTGAGTGTATCTAAAGTGCAATTTTATTAATTAATTAATTTTTTATTTAATAACTAATTAATCAATAAATTTGTGTCATATATTATTCTGTTTTTTTGTAGTGAAACACAAAGTGGGAGCAATAGGATTGGAAGAAAACACTAAAAAAAACAAAGAACTTTGATTGCTAATTCTGTTATTATGCGCTTTTTTCATTTTACAATTGGAATCACTTTAATATGAAGTTTAAAAAAGGGGTATTTCTTTATTTTGACATGCAGCAAAAGCATACTTTATGTGAGAATAATAAAATTCAACCAGAATAATGATGATTATGTATTAATGAAGTTGTTTATCAAATAATTACGGTTTTGAGATTTTAAAAAATAAATAAATAAATATTATGAATAGTGTAAGTTGAGGATTAAGAGAAAAGATACTAATTTGTTATCTTACATAAAGAAATTACTTAGTCCGTACTCCCTAAATATATCTAGGCCTCAAGTGCTGTAATTATGGAAGAAGCCACATTAAGCAAGAGAACATTTATCTTTACAGCTATGATCAATTGGTGTAGAGGAGCTGAATTGAGTGTCACTTACTCACTTGGAATGATTGCTACTACACGAGAAGTACTTAGATTGCTTGGTTTGGTTGAGTACACTAGTTCCAATTATACAACGGATGGTTCTTGGGGCTCGGTGCAACTCTATATCTTACCGGCCCCTCTTCAAGTCAATACAGTCGTGTTAAGCAAAATGAGCTATGTTAAATTCAGCAAAAAATAATTTATGTCGGTCATATGCAAATTAAATGAAAATAATTAGATTTAAGCAAAAATATATACTATTTGTATTAGTTTAAATCAGCAAAAAAAAAAAATGAAATCAGTTGTATTAAATTATAATTAAGGGCATGTTCATATTTACCGAATTGAGCTGAACTGAACTGAACTGATTGGAGCTGAACTGAACTGAACTGATTGGAGCTAAACTGAACTGAACTAAGCTGAAATGAATATTTTATGAGAGAGAGAAATTAAGAGCTGAACTGAACTGAACTGATTGGAGCTGAACTGAACTGAACTGAACTGATTAGAGCTGAGCTGAACTGAACTAAAAATAAGTAAATATGAACAGACCCTAATTAAAAAAAAATTGTAATCAACTATAATTTGTTTTATCATTAAACCTAATTTTAATCAATGGAACTAAGTTTTGATTAGATGATGATTATTTTAATAAATACGGAGTAATAATTAATTTTGTTTGATAAAAGTCAAATTAACTGAATTATAGACTAACTTAATTTCAACAAAAGTAAGTTGATTCGAAAAAAAATTGGCCAACAGGAATCTAATCATAGGTAACATCAGTAACATTGTTTGTAAAGATATTAGCTAAATTTTCTTTTTTTTTTTTTTTTTTTTTTTGTTTTGGGTGTGGGTGGGGGGCATTAGACATTCCTCACTTTCAGTATAATCAAAGTGTTAATTTGTTAAAAATCTTGTCTTGAATCTAAACCATATGTGTAAGTCATAGTAGCACTATTGTATCAAACTAATTGAGATTGATCTTATGGAAAGAAAAGCACATTCAATCCTTAAGGTTAAGTGGTTTTTAATATTAGGGTCAGTTTGACCAATAGAAAAGATAATAAAAAGCAAATAATTGACAACATGCACCACCATGCGTCCATGCCCATTGCAGGTTTGCTATAAAAACTAAATAAATTAAATTAAATTAAATTTAAAAAAAAAAAAAAAGAGCAGAGTTATAATAATAATTGGAAAAAAAAAATTCTACTAATAATAATAAACTCTACTCCTACTAAACTAGCAAAACATTATTTTTTTTTCTTTACCAAAAAAAAAAAAAAAAAAAAAAAAAAGAACTAGCAAAAACATCTCAAAATTTTCGTACTAGCTAGGATTAAAGGCCGTGAGATAAATTTCTTCAAAAATTTTAAACATTAAATGAAGGAAATTAATTCCTCTTATCACTTCATCCCTCGATCAATCTCTCTTTCCTAGGATTTATCAAGTTTATGATATTGTAGTAAAATCATTATCAATGTAATTTTTAATACCTTACAATATACGGATCGGAGTAGAATAAGTTATCTTATTTAGAAACATACGAAGTATATGTCTAGTCAATAACACGTTCAAACATTACTTCTTGTCAAGCCAAGTTGATCAAATTACAATGTTTCATGTCACGATAGGTAATAAAGTTGTCCCTAGCTCGATGATGAAAGTTTCTTTAGTACAACCCAATCAAAAAGGCGTGGGTGGTGTCTCTAGCTGCTACAAATCAATCTAACAAGCTGCTGGGATTATCCTAGGTTCGGTGTTTAGACCTCGAATTTGGAGGGGATCATAACCACTTCTTGAAGCTTTGGAATGGGTTAGTCCTTGCTTATCCTAAACTATAGTAACAAAATAAATAAATAAATAAAAGCAAATGAAGCTTGCGTGATCATGCACTAATGACCTATATTATTTTTACCTTATGTCCTTATCAACTTCCATTTTAATGAACTACATTAAAAAGATGTGTTGCACATTTTTAACCCAATCATTAATCACTCATATGATATGAAATTGATATGTGACTAATATTGAACTATATTTTTTTTTGGACGGGAATATTGAAGGTAAAATTTAAATTCAAACAAACTCAAAAATCCAACCTAATGCCATATAAATCTTGATTGGTTGACATGATCAAACCTTGGCTTGCTATTAGAGTGAATTGTTTGTCACCTCTAATTACCTTGCTCTAAAAAAACTTAATTGATAATAAGAACTGTGACCTGTAATTAATACACACATATGGCCATATACTCGTATGTAATTAAACAAAATATTGAATAGTATTGTATTGTATTGTATTAATGTAAATGTAGAGTCACCTTATTACAAATTGATGAATCTTAAATAAAATTCAAGACTTTCAGCCTTGTAAATTGACATTATTAATGATTTGATCTTAGAAATCTATAAATTTCAAAGATCATAAAATTATGTTGATGAGTTATCTCTTGCAAACAACACCACGTCCACTCATACCACTAGCACAGTTCATGCTAGCAAGTTCCATGGTTTCAACTGAAGTCTCTTCTTGTCCACCAACAAACCTTGAAGCCAAACAATCGGTGGCGAAAATGCTACTAGTTGCGTACTGTCTTTCTCCTCCCATAACCGGCATGGCTACCCTCATATTCACTCGGCTCACGTAATCATTCCTGTATGTCTTTCCCAATACACCATCAACCTTTCCGGTCAATGAGTAAAATTTAAACCCGAGATCAAGATGAGCAAACCGATCCTCATCAGTAATGTCATAGTTGTGTACCCTAGATTCTTCGTCAGTAATAGGTACAACCTTAGCTGTGATCCTAAGCTTTCCTGGAATTTCAACAACAATGTTGTTGGTTTCACTAGTCCTTGTTACGGTGACTTGTGGCATGGAGGTGGATGACCATTGAGAGCCTAGAGTCTCTTCAAGGAATATGGGTTCTCCGTCGAAGGCCAATGAGAGGCGGTCTTTGGCATCATCCCATGTGCCGGTCTTCCTAGCACCAAAGAATAGACGGTGGTTGTCGAAGAGGATTCCAATGGACTCGACCCATGTAAAGTCACGGCCCATGTTTGCGTTTCTTTTTCCTATGAAGTGTGCGTTGATGTGAAGGTTGGGGTCGGTCACTAGGCAAAATTGTTTATCCTTCTTTCCATGGAAGTAGAAGGTGATACCGTCACCTCCAATGAAGCGAGGATCTTGGCATACGGCTCCTGGATAGTCACAATCTACAATGCAAAAAGTAATTTGTACACACAAAAAAATTTAAAAAAAAAAAAGAGTTGAACACTACTAAATTGAACAAAAATTACAAAATAGTCAAATTATGTATGCCTCTACTAGCTACTAATAAAAAGTTATCATATAAATGTATGTCCAATATAACTTAATCTTTAATATTGGAGTAAATTTATAGTTGGCATTATCTGTAAGCTTGTGTTATGGTAATATGTATTCTTTAGTAGAGTAATATATGACTTACTGCAGACAGGCTTGCAAGTGACACAATCAACTTGGCACGAAGTAGGGCAGTTAGCGGGACAAACATGCTCTTGATTGTAACATTGTCCGTAATTCTTGTTTCTGCATCTAGCTCTATTCCTAGAGCCAGCATTAGAATTAGGAGGAGTGTAAGGTTTAGGAGTAGAGGGTTTTGGTGATGGGGTAGAGGGTTTTGGTGTTGGGGTTGCTGGGGTAGGAGTCGAGGGCTTAGGTGTGGCCGGTGTTGGTGGGGTTGATGGTTTAGGTGTTGGTGTTGAAGGTGTTGGGTAATATATCGGTGTTGGTGGGGTTGATGATGAGTTATGGGAGCTTGATTGTTGTCCTCCTCCTGCAGCCGAGGAGCCAGATGCTGCTGCTGCTGCGGCAGCAGCTGCTGCAGCTGCAGCAGCGGCTGATGATGCTGACGATGATGATGATGATGACGCTGTTGATGTTGCTGAGGATGCTGCAGACGATGCAGCAGATGCAGCAGATGATGCAGCTGAAGATGCACCAGAAGACGATTGTGACTCGACCACAACAGCCAACAACAAAGCTAAGAACCCAAGATAAATGATCTTGGGTACAGCCATTATTTTTCTGATGTTTCAAGTCTTGCTAATCTTAAGAAACTTATGTATTAATGTTATAGTATGAGAAGAAAGACTTGATGAGTGATATAAAATACCAAACCAACAACGACTTTTATAGATGTTTAGGCGTTGACCGTTTAACATTACATTACTAAGCTAGTATCTTCCTAAGATGTTGGGTCAAAAGTTATACTTATTTCTTCAAAATGAGTCATAAACTTACACTTGCGTAGTTGACTTTATTTAACAATACGGTTGGAAATAAAAAATTTAATAACAGTACAATTTGTTCATAATTATGATTTAGCTTGTATTTATCAAAAGTTCATGAATTTTTAAAATAAAAAAGTTATTGTTAATAATATTTCTGGCATAATGTATTGTACAGTATTTTAAATTGGAATCCAAGGAAGAGATGATCTGTTTCTTTATTTTGACATGAATTAAAAGCTTACTTTACGAGAATAACAATTCAACCAATATGAATATGATGCTTAATTTTGTAATTAATTATTATAGTTCGTTATGTTGAGCTCAGTGATGATGCAGCCATACAAGTTGTAGCCAGCTTTGATTAATGCAATAGGAAATACGTACTAAGAGAATTTATCTAGACTTTAGCTCTAAATGGGAGTTATGAAGGTGAAATTAGAATCCATGGAGCTTAATCTCTCAATTTCAAGTTTTGACATTGCCTTTCGCGTATCATTTGCAGTATAATTAAAATCTATTACGGAGTACTTCCTATGTTCTTTAATGCTTCGTATACACTTGCATATTTTAATTTGGGCTTTTATTTATAATCAAAACTTTTTTTTTAACTATACATGCGATTCATATTCATATAACTTGATATAGACATGTCTCATTATACAAGTATATATCTTCAAAATATAACTTTTTATAACTTTTTTTACCATTACTCCATATATGTTAAAAAAAAAAAATCATGCTCAAAATTATGCATTAGTAAATATAAATTCCAAGGAGAGTAAGTGATAAAGATACGGATGAAGTAAACAAAGTTATGGCCGTAAATAATAGTGAATAGTGAGTTTAATAATCCATTATTTCTTAGTGAATAGTGAGTTTAATCATATGTATCTTCATATCCGAGAAAAATAAATGGCATGGGATCAATTCATAATTCCATAGTGAATAGTTAGTTTAATCATATGTATCTTCATATCCGAGAAAAATAAATGGCATATATAGGATCAATTCATAATTCCTTAGTGAATTGTGAATTTAATCATATGTATCTTCATATCCGAGAAAAATAAATGGCATATATAGGATCAATTCATAATTCCATAGTGAATTGTGAATTTAATCAAATGTATCTTCATATCCGAGAAAAATAAATGGCGTAGGATCAATTCACAATTCCATAGTGAATAGTGAGTTTAATCATCTCTTCATATCCGAGAAAAATAAATGGCATAGGATCTGTTGAGCCTTTTGGTTTTGATGGACAAATTGACAAACTCGACTAATGATTGTTTTGAGTCTTTGGTGAATAAAGGGTTCAAGCAAAGTTCGTTCCAGAGTAGGAACTTGGATGCGGAGTAGCATTCTCTAAAAAGCCTCATGCAAATCTCACGTTCTAGTTTTAATTGTGAGCACTCAATAATATAAAGTCGGAAAGGAACTCAATGACTTATGTTATTAAAAAGACTACTGGAATAAAAGTTAGTTTTAAAAGATAATTTCTTAAAGAAAAGATAATTTATAAAAGTTTTATTTAGTCATCTATTTTCGAATAAAGATAATTATCGAAGATAATTATCTAGTTGTTTTAATATAAATAATTAATTTATCTTTTCAAATAAAATCTTTTTAAACAAACTTTTGATAATCTTTTTAAACAAACTTTTGATAAAGTTAGCAAGCAGTTTTCTTTGTGAAAATCGCTGATTATACGGTTTATCATAGCTAATGTTTATCAAGTTGTTGAGATAGTGGATTAGTGAGATAAGGCTAGGAAACCTCCTTCATGATCACCATCTGTCAAGATAATTCCACAAGTTGTTAGTGGGGTGTTGGCATGTGGACGTGATTATAGTGGAGGTTAATGACTAAGCCTTCTCTATAAATACTCATGCAAACTATCTCAGCAAAAAACAACTCTTGAGCATAAAAATTCCAGTAGCCATCTAATAACATAAAGAGAGTTATTATCCTTCTTATATTCTTGAGTGCAATAGATATTTGTAATCACAGATTGTATTCAAGCACTTTGGGGTTGGGATTGTGAGTTTGTAAAGTGAGGTCAAGGAAGCTTCGTTGCTGAAGGCTTCTGTGAGAGTTGGGAACAAGTTCCTAATTTGTGGAACTTGTTAACGGGTTAGAATCTTCACTTGTAAAAAGTTTGATTACATAGTGGAAATTTAGAAAAGCCTATATTTTCTCTCGTCATTATTTCATTTAGTTAAATTCCGTAAAAGTTCTTAGATTTCACCTCAAATACAATTCACCCCCCCCCCCTCTTGTATTAGCCAGTTAGACTTTCAGTTGGTATCAGAGCGGGAACTCAGAGCACGCAGGCAACCCTGTTGAGTAAGTTCCTGGGAAAATGGCTTACACAGAGGAAAAGGAATTCGGGAGTACATCCATTCAAAGGCCTCCATACTTCAACGGCAAATATTATCCTTATTGGAAGGATAAGATGGAAATCTTTATCCAAGCAGAAAACTATCAGGTATGGCGGATTATACAAGTAGGAGATTACGAAATTACAAAAACGAATGCTAACAATGAGGTAATCCCTAAACCTATGGATGAATATGAAAAAACTGATTTCGAAAAATTAGAAATGAATGCTACTGCCAAAAAGTTTCTAATTTGGGGACTTGGACCCGATGAACATACTCGTGTCAAAGGGTGCAAATCCGCAAAAGAAATTTGGGATCTTCTGGAAGTTACACATGAAGGAACGTCAGATGTTAAACGTTCCAAAATAGACATTCTTTTATCTCAGTATGAGCGCTTTGAAATGGGAAACAAAGAATCCATAAAAGACATGTTTACTCGATTTAAAAGTATTACTAACGAACTAACGTGTCTTGGTAAGATAATTCCTATAGATGAGCAGGTCAGAAAGGTCTTAAGAAGTCTTCCAGACAATGACAGATGGAGAGCAAAGGTTGCAGCTGTGCAGGAATCAAAAGACTTCACCAAGTTCAATCTGGAACAGCTTGCGGGTTCCCTCATTACCCACGAGATCCAGTCGAACAATCGGACTCAGGAGACTGTCAAAAGTCAAGGGCTAGCACTAAGAGCTAATGAAGAATCCGAAGAGAAGTCTGACATTGATGAAGAAGAAGCTGCAATGTTGGTGAGAAGGCTGAAAAAATTCTACCGTAACAACAAGTTTTTAGACAAGAAGAAAGGATACAGTAAAAGAAATCAGGAATCCAAAGCCAAGTCTTCTTGTCACAAATGTGGAAGCACCAACCACTTCATCAAAGAGTGTCCATTATGGGAATCTGAGAAAGGCAAGGGAAAAGAAGCTGATCAAAACAGAAACTCCAAGCCTAACTTTTCTAAAACAAATTTCAGGAAAGCAATGATTTCCACGTGGGGAGAATCAAGTTCCGAAGAAGAGGAACAGGAACACACAGACGATGAAGTAGCAAATCTCTGTCTAATGGCAAAGCATGATGATGAGGTAGTCATTCAACCTAGTTATTTGAAATCTCTCTCAAAGGATAAGTTAATCTCTTTATTGTTAGAAACCTTAGATGAATATAAAGAATTATGTGCAAAACTAAGGCAAGCCGAAAAGGCAACTGGAATTTGTAGAGATCATGTTAAGTATCTGAATAGCTTAAGAAATGATGTTCAAGGCAGATTCTTTGAATTGTTAGATAAAAATATTATGCTAAAAGAATCCCTTGAAAGAGTCAAGAGTGAGAATATCATGCTGAACATTGAATTGACTCAATATAAAATGCTGTGTACTAACATTGATTCTTGCAGGTCTACTGAAATTCCTTTAATCTTGTTTAATAATGAACTAGAGCATGTTAAGAAAGAGATAAAGGATACTAATGATAAAAATGAGAAACTAGAAAAGGACCTAAAAATTGCAAGAAAAAGTAAAAATACAGCAAGCACGGGTGTTCCCAAGTGGGTAAAGGAAGCTCAGACAAAAAGAACAGAAGGTCTAGGCTATGTTCATAAGAAGAAGTCCACTGGAAAGAAAAAGAAATATGTGAACTTACCTAGTGAGACCGTTTGTTCTTTTTGTGGTAAAAAGGAACATCGCAGTGAAGAATGTACTAAGAAAGCAAATCTGTACAATAAGAATGTGAACTATGTTTGGCAGAAGAAATCTGATTCAAATGTGTCAACACAGGAACCCATGAATGAAAGGGTGCCTGCTACTAACCCTTAATTTCTTTTGCAGGTCGCAGTGAGGGGGAACAACCAGTGGTACCTCGATAGCGGTTGTTCTAAGCACATGACAGGAGATGAATCCAGATTTCTCTCACTGGCGGCCTATACAGGGGGAACGGTGACCTTTGGAGACAATAAGAAAGGCAACATTGTTGCTGTTGGCAAATTAGGAAGGTCAAGTTCCCATACAATTGACAATGTATTTTTAGTCGAGGGTTTGAAGCATAATCTACTCAGTATTTCTCAGTTTTGTGATAAAGGAAACTCTGTAAGCTTTTCTTCTGAAAAATGCAAAATCATCAACAATAACACTGGAAAAATCGTTTTGGAAGGAGCTCGTAAAGGGAACACGTATACCGTGGACCTTAACAAAGTTCCAAAATACAATCTATCCTGCTTAAGTGTTATTGAGGATGATCCACTTCTATGGCATAAACGTTTTGGACATGCTAGTCTTTCATTGCTTGACAAATTAAGGTCAAAGGACTTGGTAATCGGATTACCTTCTATCAAATTCCTAAATGACAAAATTTGTGAAGCCTGCATCAAAGGAAAGCATGTTCGATCATCATTTAAATCAAAGAAAATGGTAAGCACCACAAAACCATTGGAACTCATTCATATGGATTTGTGTGGCCCCGTTAGAATTCAAAGTAGAAGTGGAAAAAGATATGTCTTAGTTCTT